CCGTCGGTCACACGCGCGAACCACTGAACCGGCATCCAACGGTGTAAATGTCTAACTTCAACTAGTCCACAAAATTCAGCCACCGTCCACCTTTGTCCTCAGTGAGTTACTATCTCACAACAGACCCAGACCTATTATCATATCCAAAAGAGTACAAAATTTAATTTTATTGATACTTTTAACAAAGATCCAATCATTTTCCGATTCAACTTCTTTATAACTAAAAGCATACTGAATGAGATTTAGATTAAAATACAATCCAATAGACACATGAAATCAGACCTGATCTATCAATCCACTCGAAAATGTTCAATAAATAATGTATTCAGATGTTAACTGAATACAATAGTCAACTCAAATACTAAGACAGATGAAAATAATGAAGCCAATGAAGATAACTAATTATAAAACGATCATCTAAATAAACTGATTTAGAGCTCATGGAATAACCGGGTATCAGAAATGATTAAAATACACGACCCAGTAATCAACGGTGAAATCAGTGTTTGATACATATATAAATCTTCAGCTGAAGTCATGCATCAAGACATATCAGTCATGTTCTGTTGAACAAAGGAGCAAGCGATAACTTTTCCACAGTCACAACAAACTGTCTTGCAATAATACTTTGAGAAGACTCTACTTGTAAAAAAACCTAATTCTACATGAAGTGATTGGTGATGACGTTGATCAAAATGACAAAGACAAATGAATAATTAAATGATCTAGCTAAAAGACTACACCAATACTAATGTGAACTATCAATTGATGTTAAGTATTACGTCTTATTATAACTTTTGGCTTTGTGCCCTATTAATATATAACGTAGTGATACCGCCAATTAGAGAGCAGTGATTCATCGATCGAATCAACAACGCATAAACTCAAACGAGCAATCTAGAGTCATTATCCGTCCTTCTTCCTGCCTAGCACTATCTGTTAAGTTCAGAAATACCAATCTGAGCCTCTGTGATATGAATCAGGTATTTCAAACATATTAGGTTTATAGACAAACTAAACAGACCTCATCGTACCATAAAACAGAAAACAACGTTTGTACAAATACTAGCCAAATGTGGCTGTGAATATGGGAGATAGTAATCAATAGATTACGAATAACTCAAGAATGGTAAATCGTATAATAATAATCTTTAGGTCAAAGGAAAGCTTACAATAAGGAGAACATGAATATGAATAGTTTAGCTACTTAACAACCATACAATAAAAATAATAGTCATCGTACTAGTTCATAAATAGATCCATACAATTACCATTCATCCATCTCATCGGGACATAATGCGTCTATTTTTATAAAAAGACTAAATTTAATAATGAAAAGTAATTTATTCTAGAAGTAAACTAGATGTGACATTTTTTGTTTGTTTTGTTTTGCTTTTTTTTATTTTTTAAATTAAATTTGAACAATTTTTAATCTTATTCAATCACGTCTATCAACATAATGTCAGTAAGTGATTATAGTTACTATGACAACGTCAATTAGTTTGGTTCCTTTTTTGTAATCTATTTAAAATAAGGAATATTTAAGTGTGAAAAACTAAATAGTAAGCGAATTTCAATGCAAATGAATTAGCTTACTTTAATTAAGATCATCATTAATACTCTCTTCTTTTAAGAATGATTAAATGATGTCAGTCGGTTAGCGAGTATTGACAAACATTCAATGTAACTATTAACGTAAGTCGTGAATGAATGATAGCTCATAGATGCATTCCAAGTGTAAACCGATGTTAGATACAGCTGCTTATTGTTGACTGAGTTATGAAGACCCCCACATCTGAGGGGAAGTATAGGTTACAATAAACAGCTTTGATTCAACTAGACGATTCAGATTTTGTAGATGACCTAGCCTTTTTATGCAATACATAGAAACAGCTGAAGCCAGTGTAACACCAGCCTCTGCAGAAATAAGCCTTAACATACATAAGAGTAAAAGCAAGATCTTGAAATAAAAAACAATGATCATTAAGCAAATCACTCTTGATGGAGAATCACTGCGAGTGGTTGAAAGCTTTACTTATCTAGGCAACATTATTGATAAATCAGAAGGATCTGATTCAGATGTGAATGCAGGGATAGCAGGGATAACATTTCTGCAGTTCAAGGATATTTCGAAATCAAGACAACTGTCACACAACACCAAGGTCAGGATTTCTAACACAAACATCACAATAGCTTTATTGTACAAAGCTGATAATTGGGATCTACGACGATCATCGTCGAAAAGGCGCAGGTATATATAGACAGTTGTCTATGCAAAATACTTCAGACCCGTTAGCTGAACACTATCAGCAACAACGTACTGTGGCAAACAACAAACCAACTGCCACCTGAAAAGGAAATTACGAAAAGACTCTGGAGGAGGACAGAACACGTATCTTTGAAATCATCAAACAGAATCGCCAGTAAGCTGTAACTTGGAATCCTGAAGACAAACATAAGAGAGGCAGACCAAAGAACATATTTCGTTCATAATTGGAGACAGACACTGAAAAATTGAACAGCACTTAAAAAAAACTGGAAAGGAATGTCTAGACTAAAGTTTGTTGGATAATTCTGATTGGCGGCATATGCTCCATGAGACGTTACAAATGTAAGCAATTAACCAATTAAGTAAGAATGGTTGACTGAAAAGACTGGATTGAGATTAAACCCTTATTAATTTCACTAAATAGGTTTATTTATTGAGAAGAACCATAGTTATGCACTAACGAAATGTAGTTAGAATCGTAAAATACGGTACGCCAACGCCTAGTACTACCATGTTTGATGTTAAATCATTGACTGTACTCAAACATTCATCAAATAAAATGAACTGTAAATACATATTCCCTTCGTAGTCGAACCTCAGTTGTTAAGGATTACACAGAACTTTCGCCTTTTTAAATCAATAACCACTATATATAGCGATAAGTCCAAGATATAAGTTTCAGTGTACTTATTTACGACTGTCATTACTAAATATTAAATTCATTTAGTATTGTTTACTTGAATCTTCCCATTGATGATTAGGAATGCAACTGGTCAGTCTCTTATTGGCAATATATGCATACTGTGTGTATTGTCGATATAGCCTTGAGTCACAAGCATTATAAGCAAAGATACATAGTGGCTCCTATTGTGGGACTCCTCAGCAGTGCGTATCCACGGTCTAGCTTCAATCGACACATGATTTCAACTATGAAATTACTAAAATCTTCACAAAACCCCTTCTGACAATAAGTAGTGTTAAAAATAGTTATTCATACTACACCCTAAATCTTAGTTTCATATTTAATAATGTTAATAAGTATTAAGAGATTTTTATAATTTATAAAATAATCAAACACTTAGTGCGCTGGACAGAGTTGGATGGAGAATGCTGGTGAGCTGCCTATGCTCCTCCACGAGGGATAGCAGACGTAAGTAAGTAAGTAAATAAGTGAACATTTGACTCATGTTATGTAATACCGCTGTACAAAAAAAAGAAAATGTTACCACTGAAACAATTAACACTAGAAAACACCAGATTTGTCATTAAATAATGTAAACAAACTTATTCAATCATTATTTTGGATACTCATAACATATAATCGAAACAGGCCATAAGATTGATCTAAACTCGGCTTTTTCGGTGTGTAAAAGAGTGTATACTAAGGTTTATTGAAGCCTTAGCCATACGAAAATTCAAACCCTCTTTGTGTATTCAAAAAAAAACTTGTTCTTACTTTAAATCTACCCTGGTAATATTAGCTTATTAGGTTTCAAATTGTTTTCACATCATTATTATTATCCTTGTCTACTCTTACCCCTCAACATTTCCAGTCTAGTTGATCTTTTATTTTATATATAAATGTTCTTAACAAGCATATTATGTGTGATCAAATTGTTCGAAATGTATTGCACTGATGTCTCATCACATAGTAAACAAAGATGGATAATGGCTAGCAGTGGAATACAGGACGCGCGTTTCGTCCTATCCATCATTGCTTACAATGATTGTAAATTAAGGCTATATTGAGGCAATACGCACAGTATGCATATATGCCAATTAGAGACTGACCAGTCGCAGTTCTAAACACATCGATGGGAAGATTCAAACAAACAATACTAAGTGAATCTCATCACATTTCTGATCATCTTTGTCTTCTTATTACACTATAGAAATTTACCAAAAGGACTAATTGCTTTAAACCATCTAATAGTCAAAATTGTTTAACGTCGATTGTCGATTATTTTACTTCATGAAAAGTTTATCTGTTCAGATAAAAAAACAGATCAATTCATTTCATTTAATAAAAGTAAACTTTGGCAGCTTGCTTGAGTATCTGAGCTACCTATTCCTACCATCTAGATATTTCTCCATGTTATCTAGTTTTGTTTGTTTTAACACATCATTATACTTATTAGTCTCATTTTATTCAGATGCGTTTGTGGAAAGTTTACAATCTTTCAATGTACAAGTTACAAATAAACCCAATCAAAGATATCGTGGTTGCTGGTAACATGTAACGAAGAGAATGTACATTATTCAGATGTCGATCCTTTAACTGTTAACGTCCAACTGGCGATCACTCAATTACATCGTCATGATCGACCAAGTAAGAAAAGGAAACTTCTTGAAATATTTCACTTTGATGGAGTTTTGTTCTCTGAGCTGTATGATTTGATCGTGAAGCTTTCATCGTCCTTCTGAACGATATCATCAGCACAAACACTTCACTTCTACCCAAAGTTTCTGCTGATGATGTCGTTCAGAAGGACGATGAAAGCTCTACAACCAAACCATCCAACTCAGAGAACAAAACTCCATCCCAAATCATTCACCTAAGCTACAAATCTTCTCCACCCTCTCGAAATACTTTATACTGAGATATCTATATCCTACCAAACATTTAATATTAAATAAAGCTAATCATCACAAATAAGTAAAAATAAACAATATTATGAATGAAAACAGCATCATTCAATGTTTCAATATCCATTGGTATATATATACCTACCAATTACGAAGATCAATACTGATGTAACCATAAACTGATTCATTGTGATCCTTGTTCGAGATCGGTTCCAAATTTTTGTTTTTCCAAAGAAGAAAAAAAAACTTGAATTATGTAATAATATGACAGAATATTATTTATGGAAGGTTGAATAGTTTGTTTAACTAATGGTGTCTCATTTATTTATATATTTACCTATTTATATTCCTGTACAATTTACTGTGTTTGTATGTTACTATGATGGGAAAACAAAATAAATCTCTGATTGGTTGAATTTTTTTTCAAAAATAAAAAGAAAGAAAAAGAAAAAAGAAAAACGTACAATATTTGAAGAAACTGATTTGCTTAGTGATAACTTTGCATTAAAATGTCTAAAGGTATAAAGTGTATACAAGTAAATAATCCTACGCATAATCATATACATGAATGAATATATGATGACATAATTGAATACAGATCAGACAATTGATGAACAATTGCTCAAGTATCGTGGATTGGTTGAAGTTAAACATTAACACTGTTGGATGCCGACTAGCTCAGAGGTTTATCGATTAAGTTTCTGGGTTCGAATCTTGCGAATGCGGGATCGTGTATGCGTACTGCCACTGAGGAGTATCCTAATAAGACGAAACGGCCGTCCAGTGCTTTCGGGTTTTCCATGGTGATCTAGCTTCAATTGACTCAATTGAATATTCCTTTTTTGCTTTTTTCCTCTTTTCTCTTTTTTTGTTGTTGTTGTTGTTGAAAGATCATTAAATATATGATTAGTGTGAAATCAACCTTGTTACGAATAAAAACTTCAGTAAACGATGTGAATTTTAACTATGGTTGAATGAATTAGGGTTTTGTAGAATTTAAAATTTTACATTTTTGGAAAGTTTTCATTTGTTAAATTATTTTAAAAGATACATCAAGTTATGTCAGAATGTAATGTAACTCAATGGATGGAATTCGATCAATACTGAAAGTATTAGACAAGCATGATATCGGTTATTACTCAGCAACAAACACCAAGAATAAGACTTGATTTAGAGTTGATGTATTGCAATGATAATTGTACAGTATAAACGAAACTTGATCAAAAACCTTAGTTACTGAATACGCACTATATGTTTTGTGGATGTAGTTGAAAATGAGCTAAACACCTTGCATAATGCTCTGAAGGAGAACGGTGATAACGAAAGTGAAAATAGGTGAAATTCAAACGGTCATGAAGAAGTCCCTGTTCATGTGCCTACAATTCAGAAGAGATGCAGTTGGTGAAATACTAACTTAGAAATTAGGCGGAACAATTCAAAAGTCTTTCAACGCGGGTGAACTACGTTAAGTGTTTTCTACGCACTCAATGGTGACATTGAAGATGAATTACCTAGAATGACCACTTCATTTTGTACTTATCAGTTCGACTGCTCCTATGGAACAAATTATATTGGTCGAAGTTCTAAGAATTTACATTTTTGTGCTCGCGAACACCTCCCAGCTTGGCTAAACAAAGGTTTGGTGAAGAGAGTAAACAGCTCGATTTTCGCCCATTTAGTACAAACTGGTCATAGTGTCAATAAAAACCGATCCATTTCAATTATTTGTAGGGTCAGTAAAATTTCGCCAAAGCTTGTCAGGCTTAAAGTCCTTCAAACAGCTCAGGCAGTAGCCATCAAGATGAAGAAACCGGAGCTATGAGTACAGAAGAAATATCTCCAACCACTCCTATTCCCCTGGCCAAACTCAAAGCCACTTAAATCAACAGTAATCTTAGCTATTGGATAACCTAATTCGACTATTGTACCTACGACTATTCGTAGTCAAATGTAAATGTGTCTCTGATCTTTATTCACAAATCTTAGTTTTATTACTTTTTTCGCATTGATAATTTGGATATATAATTGTAGAATCTGAATGGAATTTATCGAAAAGACTATTCTTCGTTCATAAATTAGTCTTTTGATAATTGTACTACTTATACGGATGGATATAAGTAGTATGTATCAGGAATTAAAAATGAAATACTTACCAGCAGAAGATTGAAATTCATACAAGAGAAAGGAAAAGAAAAGAGAATAACATCAGGATTGAAAGAATGTTGAAGTATTTAAAGGAAAAATCAAGAAAGATGTTTAAATGATGTATTGTTTATACATTTTATAAAACCACTTGATTCATGATCTCAACTATTAAAATTACTGTAATATCCACAAAACCCCTTCTGATATTAATCAACATATTCTCACTAGTTACTATCTCCATAAGGTATTTTTTGGAGTTCTGGTGAGAAGCAATCACTAGTGGAGTTCAACCAGGTCTGTTGTGAGATAGTAACTCACTAAAGACAATGGTAAATGTGTACCTCAATTTCGTGGGTCAGTTGAAGTTAAATATTAACACTGTTGGATGCCGGTCAACTCAGTGGTTCTAGAGGTCAAACGCTTTCAATCGACACTGATAAGTCCTGGGTTCGGATCTTTCGGGACGATATCGTGAATGCGCACGTTTGAGGATTCCCAGAATAGGTTGAAATGGCCGTCGAATGCTTTCAGGTTTTCCTTGGTGGTCTAGCTTGCATTGACTCATGATCTCGACTATTAAAATATCCTGAAAAGTTGTTTATAGGAATTGGATACAGTAAAAGTCTCTTACAGATTATTATGATATAATATTTAACTCACTCCTTATGTAAATTGCTTTTATTGGGACGATTTCAGAAACAGTGTCATTTATTTATCTGACGTAACATGTGACGAATATAACTTTATTAAAAGATATGCAGTTAGTAGAGAGATTTAGTAAACGCGTTTCGTCTTAATTTGGACCCATCTACGAGATGACACAAACTGTTCCTAATTATAATTTAGATATTTAAAGACTTGAAAGCGTGAGTCAATTGAAGTTAGATAACCATGGAAAACCTGGAAGCACTGGACGGCAGTTTCGCCCTATTATGGGACTCCTCATCAGTGCGCGTCCACGATCCCGCACTCGCGAACCCACGAACCCAGGGCCTACAGTCTCGCGCCAGAGCATTTTACCTCTAGACCACTGAGCTGGCTGGCATCCAACGGAGTTAATGTCTAACTTCAACTGATCCACGAAACCCCTTCTGATTATAATATCTAAAGAATGCAATAATTTTCATCTTCAATGCTATTCAAATGTTTACTCATTTATACGAAGGTGAGCAGAAAAAACACAAATCCATGAACTAAATGTTACAATAGGTGAAAGTAGGTTGGTGATTAACTAATTCCTTTAGCTAGACACATTAAGTTTTACAGTGAGTTCTTACCTGTACATTGAAATGATTTCCAGTCCGTAAACTGAAATGGTCCTAACGCTATCAGCGTTGATATATGTTGTTGAAGTAAAGATTAGACTAGTTTCTAATTAAATGCTGAGATATTAACGTTCTTCTGAGTACATTATTGCGTGAATGAAAGATTTTCTCGGTGTTTTTTGTATTTATCCAAAGATTACTGACGGGTTTCAAACTTACCTCATGAAATTCAATTAAACTGTTTTCAGTAGATTTATAAGTGCTTAACGTGCTTCTTTAGACAGTATCACAGCAACTTCTTAAGTGTGTGGAGCATTTTTACTTTCATGGCCAGAGTAAAACAGCATCTCTCTCGAATCAATTCTTTTTTGTCCTGCATGAGTCCAATAGGTCTAAATTATTTCTAGCACCGCCAAGTTATATCTCTTCATTTCCATTGCTATTTGATTGGTTCTCTCGGTCTCCCACATTGTCCAAAAATTCCATGTACCTAAATTAATAGTTGCTCTGGTTGTAAGGCTAGTCATCGGCCTCGTGACTTCTGGAGAATCTCGGCTTTCACCATGAGGCGTCATAATTCTTATGGATGAAGATACTCTTAATCTGTAATACAGATTTTATGGTGTTAATATTGAACAAAGTTCTATCGAAGATTTGATATAATAACAACTGATACACAATTGAACAATAATGCGCTATTACAAAGTAACACAAGAAGAAGACAAGGGTATAGTAATACATGATATTTCAACAGATAAATGATATATCTCGTATATAATAACAGAAATACTATAAATTTTTTTAGCAGACAATCGCAGATAACTCCATAGACTTGAAATGAAATCTCTGATGAAAAGGATATTTAAATGTCCACTTGTCACTCAATGAGTGAACAGTAAAATAGACAATCTTTCTCCATAGAACATGTTGAAGATGTTAAGTATAATTTCAACTAAACAAAATACTATAATCATTTGAAATTCTAAACATTTTCAGCTAGAACTTCTGGAATTATCTTTCAAAGTTAACGTTTAGTAAGAACGATGTAATATATAATCTAAGGATTGATAATAACTATAACTCTTAACTAAACCTCAAGATTAGGGTAGTAAAACTACTTTCTCTCCTAGTTCCCTCTATACCAGAAGACAGATCGTTTGAGGAAGATTTATTTGGTAGAAACCAAAAAAAGAGTAGTTCATACCGGTATTCATCCTATTATATTTAAGTGACATTTAATGACTATCAGGTTGTCATATAGTACAATGGAATAAAGTTAAATAAACAAAACAACTACGCTGAATTAATGCCATGTAAAATGTACTGAAGGTCAAATGAATAAAAATCACTTTAAAGGAATATGCAATGAGTTACTACAGTATAGTTTGTATTTAAGAGATGTACTTCACGCTCCTAAGAGTTGAAGATTATTGAATTTTAATATTTGTTAAACAAATAATATCCTAGATTGGTTGAAGTTAGACATTACACTGTCGGATGCCAGTTCAGTAGTCTAGAGGCAGACCAGTTGCAAGCGAGACCAAAGGTTTTGGTTTCGAGTCCCACGTGTGGGATCGTAAATAAACACTGCTGAGGCGTGCCACACTAGAACGAAACAGTCGCTCAGCACTTCCAGGTTTTCAATGGTAAAATTTTAATCAACTACCACTTGTTATTTCTTTTCTGAATGAAGCTTATACAGAATCTGATAAATTGAAAACTATTTCGATTCTTCTCCGGAAATTTGTCAGTCAAATCATTAATAGCATTTACAAATGTAAAATAAGGGGTGATGATAAGAGATATTCAGTGCGCTGCTTGTATATAAAAAGAATGACATGGTTGCTTTATCTGACACATTTCAATATTCATATAATGTGTTATTTCCCGCATTTCCGGCTATTTTCCGACAAGTTAATCGACAAGTAATGTATACTATGATGTAGATTACCCTAGAAATATTTTATGCCAAGTC